ACGGGCATCTCTGTCTGAAACGATAGATTTTGAAATTCCATACAATCTCACAATTTCATCAACATATAATTTTGCCAACTTCTCCACTGAATCTATATGTCTGATTGGTAAGAAATGAGCTGACTTCATTAATCTGTCAATAACAACCCATATTGCATCTCGACTCTGTCTTGACCTAGGTAATATAATTACAAAATCCATTGCAATGTCCTCCCATTTTCATTCAGGTATATGTAAGGGTTGTATTTGACCACTTGGCTTTTGATGTTCTGCTTTGATCATCTGACAGGGAATGCATTTTGCTATAAATTATGCAACATTTCTCTTTAGCCCTGGCCACCAAAATAACATTCTCAATTCCTGATACATCTTTGTACTGCATGGATGAATTTCATATGTTGAGATGTGAGCTTCCTATAATATCTCTTCTCTTAAGCTTCCAACATTTGGAATACAGATCCTGCCCTTATACAGTTATACTTTAATAATCCTTCTGCATCCATGAAAAAATTTTCTAACTGCCCTTTTTGCACTTTCTTTATGATGGCTTGAAATTTTTCATCTTGAGATAATGTATTGAGCACTTTATCTTTCAAAGTAGATTGGATCACTAGCTGATTTAAGAACATATCTTTAGTCTCTTTCTAATTGACTACTGAAATTTTTAACTTTTCTATATCTCTAATTATCTGCTCCTGCTGGGTGATTAGCCAATTCGCATTTCCAAGAGCTTTTCTGCTAAGTGCATATGCAACTACATTTGCCTTTCTATGATGATACTGTATGTCCAAGTCATAATCCTTAATGAGCTCTAACCACCTTCTCTGTCTCAAATTAAGTTCTTTTTTATTGAAAATATACTTCAGACTCTTATGATCTGTAAATACTTCGCATCTGACCTCATATAAGTAATGTCTCCATATTTTGAGTGCAAAAATCACAGTTGTCAATTCTAAATCATGAGTGGGGTAGTTCCTTTCATGAATTTTCAGTTGCCTTGAAGCATATGCCACCACTCCACCATGTTGCATCAATACACATCCAAGTCCTCTCAAGGAAGCATCACAGAAAATTTGAAACTCTTCTGAACCTGATGGATTGTCAAAATCGGGGCAGTCACTAGGCAATTCTTTAACTTCTGGAAATCTCCTTCACACTGATCATTCCATTCAAATTTCACTGCTTTCTGAGTTACTCTGGATAACGGCATGGCAATCTGAGAAAATCCCTCTACAAACCTCCTGTAGTAACCAGCAAGTCCTAGAAAACTCCTCACCTCTGAAACTGTCGTTGGCCTTGGCCAGTCTGATATAGCTTTAATTTTATTCTTATCCACAGAAATTCCTTCACCACTAATCACATGCCCCAAAAAATTTACACTGCTCAGCCAAAATTCACACTTTGATAATTTGGCATATAATTTATTCTCCTTTAATGTTTGCAACACTGCCTGCAAATGACTGGAATGTCTTTCTTCATCTCTTGAATAAATTAGAATGTCATCGATAAACACAATCACAAATATATCCAGAAATTGCTTAAAAATTATGTTCATCAAATTCATAAACATAGCTGGTGCATTTGTCACCTCAAATGACATTACCACAAATTCATAATGGCCATATCTAATTCTGAAACTGTGTTTACTATATCTTCTTCCTTAATCCGTAACTGATGGTATCCAGATCTCAAATCTATCTTAGAGAAAACTGTAGCTCATTCCGGTTGATAAAAAAGATCATCAATCTTGTGCAATGGATATTTATTCTTAACAGTAAGCTTATTCAGTTCTCTGTAATCTATGCACATTCTAAAGCTCCTATCTTTATTCTTGACAAATAGTACTGGAGCTCCCCATGGTGAGGAACTTGGCCTGATAAACCCCTTATCTAGCAATTCCTGTAACTGACAAGCTAGTTTATTTATTTCTTTAAGAAGATCTTTGATGTATTTTTGCTGTGAAATGAAAATCCATTGGTGTTTTTAGTCCCAAGGCTTTTGAAGGTAGTTGGTTATGAGATATGTGACGATTAGTAGGGCTTCCCCCAGTAAGATTTGAGTATACTGTGGTGGAATAGGAATGCTTGGGTGGAGGCTAGAATGTGACAATTTTTTCTTTCTAGAACCCCATTTTGTTGTGGGGTATGAACGCAGGAAGACTCATGAATGATAGCTTTGTTTTGAAAGTAGCAAGATAGGTTTTGGTTAAAGTAGTCTTTGATATTGTCAGAACATTTTTTTTTTTAATTTTTATCCCAAATTGGTTCTAAATCATGGTGTGAAAAATGAGAAGAATGGTGCTAACATCAAATTTATTTTGGAGGAGATATATCAAAGAGACTCGAGTATAGTCATCAATGAAGGATACAAACCAACGAGCCGTAGTGATGTTGGAGATTTTTTAGGGTTCCCATATATCACTATGAATAAGATAAAAGGGAGTATCTCATCTCTCATTTTTATTTGGGAAGAAAATTCTTTTATGTTTGACTAACTCACAAGTTTCATAATGAAAATATTTATTTTTCAATTTATAATTTTTTTTTGGATACATATATTTTAAGTCATCAAGAGATGGATGTCTTAATTTAAAATGATGAAGCCAAATAGTAGATTTTTTATCAACTAGGGATAACATAGTATATCTATTTTTAATGCTATTAGATTTGTTCAGCTCTTCCAAGTAGTATAGTCTTGCTCTCTCCTTTGCAAATCCAATCTTCTTCCTTGATCTCTGGTCTAGAAATAGGCAGTAAGTAAGGTTAAATAGTACTTGACAATTATCATCACTGGTAACTTTTTGTATAGTGATTATGTTTCTGGATAATTGAGGTACGTGGAGCACATCTTTGAGAGTGAGGGAGGGAGATAATGGTATGTCTCTTTGGCCTGCAACTGTAGTAAGAGAATCATTAACAGTGATGATTTTCTTATCACTTGGCAAGTAGTATAATTGATGAAGTGGTTAGTGGAGTGTGTTATGTGATCAATGGCTCCTTAGTTAATGATCCATAAACCTTTCCAATGATTTCTAGAGGCACTTAATCCAATGGATATAAGAAACATACTTGAAAGTGCAAGTGAAGAAGATGCATGAGGTTTTCAATATCTTTAGCTTATCAATATATTTTTTATTGTGCTTATCAATATCTTTTTTATTGGGCTCTTTAAAGCTGGATTGTGATTTAAGGATGGGCTGACTTGTTGTAGTGTTGGCTTGTGATGTGTTATTTTGTCCATTTCTTTGGTTCTATTATTTACTGGGGGACTTTGCATGTATCTTCCTATAGGGGTGTCAATATTTGACACGACACGAAAACCCGACCCGGAAAATTCGGGTTGGACCCGACCCGATTTCAGGGTCGGGTTGACCCGAACCCGAAGCGGGTCGGGTTCGGGTCAGGTAAATCGACCCGTTTGTAAAAACGGGTCGGGTTCGGGTTGACCCGAATGGTGCCGGGTCATTTCCGAGTTCGACCCGAACCCGACCCGTGACCCGAAATTGACACCCCTATCTTCCTACATATCTCTTTTGTATGTCTTGATTTCTTGCAATAATTGCACCAACGAGAGTCTTTGTCTTTAAATAATTTTCAGGCTTTCGACCTCCTTTCTTGATCGATTCTTCTGGTGATGCAGACATTCGGTTCACACGTAAAGGAGGCTCATTCGACTCCGCCCTTTCTGACCGCAAACAAGAAGTTTGTGTTCGGGAGATCTTGCTCATCTAGTTCGGTTTTTGCTTCAGCACGCAGAAAGGACCGTACACAGGGAGGGCTGAAGCCGACAGTTTGACGATCAGTCTTTACGGCAGTGAAGGCCTCCCTCTTTGCTTCCTTTCTATCTTCTCTTACGAAGGTTTGGCAATGGTAACGGCAATGAAGGCTAACCATGGCTTTGATACCATGTCGAATTCAGAGATTTGAGAGTGAAAAGCCGTAGCTTTATTATCAGTGGAAACCATCAGCTTGGATTTAACAATTGCCAACTTTAACAAATATAAACTTGAAGATTTGCATCTACTATAACTTTGTTAATATTGGGTTACTTTAATGTTGTTTTTTATAGAACAATTTTGATTTATCTAGTTGACATTGCAATGAATCTCTTGCAATAAGGATGGCCTTACCGTGCCGAAATTCTAGATTTGCTAGACTATTTCATATAATACCACACAACTTTACGAAACAAACTCTATATTTAATGGCTTATTTTTCCCTCTGTGGATACCATTTATTGGAGAGCGCAATATCTAAACCATCCTCATATTAAATGCATAGATTCTAGCTTTGCATCAATTTTTTTATGTTATACTCATCATCCACCTATTGGATTTATTCGTTACTCTTTTTTTTTTTTTTACGTGTTATCCATCTAAATACGTGAAATATCATATGAAATCCATAAAACTCTTTATTTAGAGGATATCCTCTTTATTAATGTATTTGAATCTGCCTTCTGATTTTTTTGAAGAATGTTAGGGTTGTCTCAATGAACTTTGGTACATCTTCTGTAATTTTTCCATAACTATATCTCCTATTAAAAGGGATGTGACATTTATCCCTCTATGAAGCATGGACAATGAATGGGGATGCATACACATTAAAATAGTAGGATGCTAATATGGCAGTCAAAACGCACAATCGGTTTATTCCCTTTTTTAATGTCTGGGTTCTTTCTGAAGGACACTACTGTAGTGCATAGTTTGATTTCATGATTTGTTACTGTGATTTCTCTGGATTGTATTCAAAATTCATATGTTTTAGTTTCATTACATATGGTAAAGCCATGAGTAGTTAAATGAATGGCCAAATGCATTTCAAGACATTAAGTCTGCTAAAAAGCCACATCAAAGTAAGCTAATTTTGCTTAACTTCAGTAAATTAGGACCTTGACTGATGATTTACAGCTGAGCATCTGTTACGTGCAATCGACAGCTTTCATGTCATAAAACAAAAAAAATCAGTTTAGTGCTAATTATTTTGATTTTTCTCTCCCAGATGACTGAGCTAGTTGATATAGCTCGCAGAGTTGCACAAGTTAATCTTGCAAGTGATGAGGTTTTTGAGTATCTGAATGTGTGCTGGGAAGATTTATTGGATATTCTTCATAACAAACCTAAAGCTCTTGTCCTAGACACTTTCGGAAGGCACATCAGAAACTTGTTGAAGTGAGTCTTTTTTTTTAATCTTTGAGCTCATGTGATATGTTGCCATTTACAGCAAGCCTACTGCTTGTTTTTGGATTAGTTTTAATATAATTCTTCCAATGGATGGCAACATGCATTGGTTGTCAGGGAGAAATATTTGCTGGCTATGGAGTTAGGGGATGAAAATAGATTGAACAGCATTATCCAAATTGAAGCCAATGGACATGTCTCCAGAAATGCATCTGAAAATAAAATATCACCTCCTTTGCGTCTCTTACACAAGGAGAGGACTGGAATTGATGACTTTGATCTTATCAAACCTATCAGCAGAGGGGCTTTTGGCAGAGTTTTTCTAGCAAGGAAACGACGGACGGGAGATCTATTTGCAATAAAGGTAGATACAATAAAAATTGTTTTATCATATTAGTTTGCCCTAGTGCAACATGAAATCATAAGCCAGGCTCAGTTATTCTGGCTGCATTTGCGTAATTGAGTTTCCAGGTACAGTTTATAGCTTTAAATATATTACTTTACTGAAATTTTCTTTTAGTCTTTTACTTGATGTATTTTGCTTTTGTGTAAGCATTTCTTACAGATTGATATTCATATGGAAATAATGTATACTTTGTGGGATATTTTATTCAGCTCATTAGATTTTTCTATCTTTGCTTATTTCTGGTGACTTACATGCATAGAATACATGAACTTTTTTTATATGCTACAATAAATTTTCTGCCTTCCTTGATACGCAGCATTATAACTCCAGTATTTTGAAGTGGAGTGTTAGACTAATTTTATCATTTTCTTATTCCTCAAAATTATAACTCACCAGTTTAATTCCGAGAGATAGTTATATGTAGAGCTGATTTCTTCTTGCAAGAGTTAAATGCGTTATTTCTTTATTTATTTGTTTTTTATGTCAGTTTCTTGGCCATGTATGATAAAAATTCGCCTTCTTCTACAGTATTGATTTGATAGTGATTAGTGAATTATTTTCTTTCACAAATTGATACATTTTTTACATCCATATTTACGTATTTCCAAGAACTTTCTTTTCTTCTGCTCACATCTTCATAATTGTGTTGGGATAGGAATGATGATGGCTTCATTATTGCTCTTTCCATATGTCCATGATATTCAGAATTAGGTTTATCATCAAGCAAAAGTTTCGCTATGCACGCCGTGATCCGTCATTTAGTGCACAACAGTGGATGAATTAGATTGTCTCTCTTTTACTTTTAACTCCATTCTGATTCTGTTATTCATCTCAAGGGATGGCTAAGCTGTATTCTACATAAATTTTATTGGAACGGATCGTTTTATACCTTTTATTGGTTAACTTTTAAACATTTCCAGGTCAAGGTTTTTAATCCTTTGTGCTGTTGAACCCATTTTTTTTTTCCATCCATGCAAATTGGTTTGGTTGTTTTGTTACACTGTCTTTAAGATACACTATCATGTTGCTTAGTTCATATATTGTTCCTCTCGTTGTCCATCAGCCGGCTAATGTCCAGCAATATATTTATTTGAAAATTGCTATTGAATGTGTGCATTCATGTACATGCACATATTATATTTTATGTACTATAAGGTTTTTATGTTTTTTGTGTGTAAATATGCTTTTTCTTATAATTTTATCTAGACTAATTTTTGAATCATGCATCATCATTAGTTTTATCCCAACTATTTGGTGCCCACATAATGAATTAGTAAATTCCATTCATTAGTTTTTGAGTCTTTGGAATTTTATTTTATAGTTCTTTCTTATAGGATAAATCCAGCTGATAAATTGTGCTGATTTTTATTTGATATTTTATGGTCAAAATGTAATTGTTAGAAAAAGTAAACTTTTTCTACTGATAGGATCTGAATCTAACACATTCTCTCTCTCGTCTCTATATTCTTTTTCTATGTGTACAGGATTGTTACTTGTGAATGTTTGTGCGCCTGTGGGTGGTTATGAAGTGTAGTTTTTTTTTTTTTTTCAATTTATATTTAATATTTTAGCATCAATTATAAATTTAATAAATTTGCTTTAATTTTTGGTTAGTGCCTCCTTTTTTTGATCCATCGTAGAGAAAGTATGTTCTGTCTCTTTGCATGCAAAATGATAGCAAAATTCAAATGGTTTTTGGTCCAGGTGTTGAAGAAGTTGGATATGATACGGAAGAATGATGTTGAGCGTATATTGGCTGAGCGTAACATTTTGATCACTGTCAGAAATCCATTTGTGGTAAATTATTAACTTCATCAAACACTAGCCAGTGTTAGTAACCAGCAATAATTGATAGTCTTTATCGTATGTCATATTATAGTTATTGCATGTTGTTTTCTTATTTGTCCATACATCCTTTGCTTTTTTATGTAGTTTTAAGGACTTCATTTGCCTCATAACACTTCGAACTTGCATTTTATGACCCCTACTTTTCTCTTGTTTTGGAGTGTCGTGGCAAAGAATTTCCTTCAAATTAACATTTTATTTCTGTTATTTCATTACTTGTCAGTGTGAATGTAAAAATAGCTGGCTTGTGACGTGGGCATCCAGTTGGCTTTTATTCTCTTTGCTATTCTTTACTTCTCCCTTCGGTTGGAGTATATAGTGATAACCAAGCTGTAACAAGACGGTTCTTTGATTTTAGTTTTATTTTGAATATTGTTCATTTAATTGAAATTCATTTGCAGACACTTAACGGTCATGGTTCCATATGACCTGAACTCTTTTCCAGTATCTTTTACTTCATAAACACAATCATTTTTTTTCGTCTAATAATATTGCATAGGCTACTTTTTTGCAGGTAAGATTCTACTACTCATTCACATGCAGAGAAAACCTTTATCTGGTTATGGAGTACCTAAATGGAGGAGATCTGTATTCCCTACTTTGTAAAGTTGGTTGCTTAAATGAGGATATTGTCCGCATTTATATGGCAGAACTGGTTTGATCTAAACTTATGCTTCAGACATATGCGTAATTGAAAATTTGAAATCTTTCTTTGTGATCATATTATATTCTCAGGTTCTTGCATTAGATTATTTGCACTCGCTTGGAATCATACATCGCGATCTAAAGCCTGACAACATACTCATAGCTAATGATGGACACATCAAGGTTTGAAGTAGAATTTTAACAAATTGGCATCCTTGCCGTTTTATAACTCTCATATTACGTTATCTGTTTGCATTTAAACTTAAACAAACATTTTAGGCTAGATTACATCCCATCATAAAATTAGACTCGTTGAATATTTCCTTCATAATTGCTAATTTATATTTTGTACATAAAAAATTATACTGAAGATGCTTGCTAATGCCTTCATAAAAACAGCTTACAGATTTTGGATTGTCAAAGATTGGCTTTATCAACAGTGCCATCCACTTGTCTGGGACTGCAATATCTGGTCCAGTTCAGTTGGATTCCTCAGGAAGCACTCAACAGAACGGAAGAGAAAGTCAGAGTTTTGCTGTTGGGACGCCTGACTATTTGGCACCAGAAATTCTTCTTGGAACTGGACATGGTTTATATTCAACTCACTTTTCAACCTTTCTTTCTGTTTATATGCATTTGGATTTACTTTCTCAGTCATTCTTATTACAGGTTATGCTGCAGACTGGTGGTCAGTCGGAGTTATCTTATTTGAGCTTATAACTGGGATCCCACCTTTCACAGCTAGCCTCCCTGAGGTAATCCTTACAACTTTTGTGCATCTTAGTATATTTATGCTGCTCAAAAGTAGTTTGTTTTTCATGAAGTGTTCTGCATTGTTTTGAAAGAATGCAGGATATTTGCAGATCCTTCTATTGTCTGTTTGGTAATTATTATTCGGATAACAGTGTCATCTTAATTTTAGTAGTTTTGCTGCAATTATTAGCTGTTTGTTTTAGTGAGACATTTTACTTAATGGAATGCTGTGCAGCAAGTTTACGCTATTTGGGTTGATGATATCTGTGGTTTAGGCATTCATTAGAAATGTTATCATTACATCACAGAAAGAAAAATGCCTCTCCATTACCTTTTTCTACTATGCGATGAGTTTGTCTGAGACAATGTGATGCAGGACTACGATGCTTTTAAATGGATGCGATAAGAATTTGCACGATTTCTTGATAAAACAATTATGATTAAAACTATTAGCAATTTATACGGAAAAATAAAACATAAAAGTCGTAGCTACACTTAGGCCAAGTCACATGACAAATACTTGGATTATCAAAACAAGTTAGAAGTTCAACAAAAACGAAGTAAATAGCTTTCAACAAAATCCCTAATCTAACAATAAGATAGCAACATAGAAAGCACACTCAATCCTACGTTTACTAAGCTTGGCACAGATAGGTGGACAAGACCTTCATGAATCAATTCAAACCACAAGAGAGTTAAACTAAGAGAATACAAGAGTAAGAAGATTGGAAGGCCTTTGTCACGGTTTGGATGCAATCCACCACTGAATGGCACCAAGTTGATCCTCTATGGCTTCGGTGAGAGTATCTAGAATGCTCTCCACGTATTCCTCGACGGTGTTGTTGATATTCGGATTGACGTCGAAGAAAGTGGAGTGAATGATGTAAACGAAACCTTGCTCGTTATAAGCAATGTTGTAATCAAGGTCAGGATCGGCCATGCAACGATCTCGTTGCGTTGAAGTGTTGAAGGAGGTGGTCCTTTTGCTGTCCTTGCTGTTTTCCCTTGAAAGAAAGGGGTTTTTCTCAAGAATCTAAGTAGGAGAAGGTAAGAGAAGGTGGCCGACCAAGGGGGAGAGACTTGGGGAATTTTGGTTCATATTTGGGAGATTAAAGTGGAGGGAAATTTAGTTTCTAAATCCCTTGATTGAAATAATCAAGGGGAAGGAGGAGAGGGGCCAGCGGCAAGGGTCAGAGGGAGGGGTTTTAATTTAATTCCAAAAAGAGAGGTTCTCCTTTGGAAAGAAATTAACTAAGAGGGGCTAGGGGAATTTCGGCCTAGGATGAGGGGAGAGAGTTTGAATTATTTCCAAGAGAGGAGGTGGGCTTTTTGGAAACAATTCCTAATTTAAACCACAAAGGGGGCCGTCGGCTATAGTGGGAAGGAGGAGTTTAATGGGTCATTCAATGCTCACTTAAATTATTAGATTAAGTTTGTAAAGAAATATCTCATCATCTCTTAATTTAAAATTTAAATAGGAATTGATTTAGTAGGTTTCCTAAAATAGGATTTATAAACCAGTTAACTATTTCAAATTCAAATTGATTTGAATTTGATCATAAATAGAGTTGCCAAAATTATGAAATCTAATTTAGGAAAGATTTGGTGGCTAGTGGGGATGGAGGGAGGAGCCAAGGGGAGGCCGGCGGTGGTGGTTGGCCGTGGATGGGGGTGGCGGGTGGTTGTGGGGGGTTAAGTGGCCGGCGGCTAAGGGTTTGGGGAAGGCCTTGGCCGACGTTTAGGGGATGAAAGAAGGAAGACAAAGAGATAATGAAGAAGAACCACGAACTTGGCCATCTCCAAGGTTGGTGAGTGATCTGATTTCCCTCTCCTAGGGATTTCTCTCTTAAGCACTCTCAAGATCTCACAAAGAAATCAAGCAAGGGAAAATTTTTATCATTCAATCATCCTTTGAAGAGAGAACAATAGGGCTATATATAGCCTTGTACAAATGACTCAAGAAAATAAAAAGACGACGATGCCCTCTGGGCTTACATACGACCTCCCTTAAGTAAGGGGTAAAAGCGGAAACACTAATAAAACAAATACAACATAAACTAATAAAGAAAAAATACATAACACGACTCATAAGTACATCGACTCAATTGTGGTCGTAGATCGGCGTCCACGTATCTAATATACTTTCCAAGCTCCGATGTCCCCATCACAATGATATTAGGACCCCAAAGTGTGACCATATGTCGTTGGATTGTTGGATAGAGCTTCTATTGTTGTGTTAACAAGGGAAGCATGAAATCAATAACTTGCCCAGGAAGTCCAACATCTTGAGCTTAAGGGTTTTCTTGGGGTATATATGAAACCTTCTACTTAACGAGCTTGACAACCACTTCATCAGAGGACTAGATAAGACATGCTTACAAATTAAATGGCAAGAGAGTGAAAGTTTGAGAGATGATGTCGTGTTAAGAGCCCCAGAGCAAATATGCTGCTCCAATGAGGCTTATGTCTTGGTTTGACCTATTTAAGACCTTGCTTATTGATGATGACATCAGCAGGAGATTTTGGCACGTTTATCAGAGGAGGCACCGTAGATCGACGATTACGATTAGGAGCCTTTTTTATGCATTTTATATATTGTTTTATTTTATATTTTGATTTTTCCTATTTTATCTCTATGGGTAGTTAGCTTGATGTTGTAGCTTTGAGGGCACTTTAGTCATTTTCTGTTGTCATGTTGAGGCCGATATATAAGGGTCATCTCTATTGTATTTGGTATAATGATTGATGAATGAAAAAAATTACTACTTTCTTGTTCCCTTGAGTGTTGAGAGCTCTTGAGAGGAATTTGGTGTGATCCCTAGGAGAGGGAAGTGCAATACCCACCAGCCGCTAGAGGGATATGAGCTCGTGGTTTTCTTCTTCTCTTCCCAAGCCACCTCCTCTCTTTCCTCCTTCCCTTCCTATAGCCGAAACCCCTTCTTTTTCCCTCATACCCGTCAGCCATCCACCAATCCTCCACCCTAAACCGCCACCTACTTCTCTCCACCGCCCGCCTTCTCGATTACCCAACCCACTGCCCAAAACCCACCGCCAAGCCCATCCTCCACCGACCCAAAACCCACCCCTCTCCCAGCCGCCGACTTGTCTGGCCACATCCCTAGCCGCCGGTTTACCTAGGGCCAAACCTTTGGATTCAAATTCAACTGGCCTCCTAAATACTTTCCTTAAGCATCGAAGTATTGATTTGGAAAGTCCTTTTTTAATTTGAATTCAAAATTATTTGAATTTCAAATTCTTTCCTTATTGAGAAGTCTAAATTAGGAAACCTCCCTAATCCCCTCAATCTGAAATTAAATTAGGATTAATTCCAAATCCAATATTTATTGAATGTAGACACATTCATTGAATGTGGACATCACCTCTCCCTTTCCTCTCTCTTGGCCGGCTTCCTCTCCTCCTTTTTATTAATACATTCCTTAATTACAAATCTAAGGAAGGAAATTAAATCCACCCTTTCGCTCCTCTTCCCTCTTTTGATTTGAAATTCAAATTAAAATTCTCTTATTTAATTCCAACCAAAAATCTCCCTTTCCTCTCTCTTGGCCGGCTCCCTCTCCTCCTTTTTATTAATACATTCCTTAATTACAAATCTAAGGAAGGAAATTAAATCCACCCTTTCCCTCCTCTTCCCTCTTTTGATTTGAAATTCAAATTAAAATTCTCTTATTTAATTCCAACCAAAAATCTGGAATTAAATTTCAGCTTTGAATTTAATTTTCCTCCCTTCCATATTCCTAAAAATCTGAAATTTCCAAACTCCTTTCCTAATCTTGGCCAAAACCTTCAGCCCTCTTCCCACCCAAGTCCGGCCAGCCCTTGCTCCTCCCTTTTTATCATCTTCTTGTTTCAACCTACCATGCATGATCGATCTGGATGTTGCTCACAGATTTGTATTCGACTCTCAAGGATGAGTTGATATATTGAGTTCACCTTTCTTTGATATCGATTCTACCGTGAAAGATTACATCGGCAGAATATTCTTCTCCTTGACAAACGCCATTGCCGACTACTATTATCCAACACAGTGGCAACTTCTACATCGTCCACCGCCTCCTCCAACTCCGGCTAACTTCTCCCTGGATGATATCGTAAGCTTCCTCTTTTTTTAGTGGCATCGTCAATAGTGCTAAAATTCTTCGCCGCTAATCCATATAGAGATAGAGTGAGAGAAATTCAAAGTGAAAGTTCTAGATATTAATCTGAGGATTATTATTACGGCATAACTAGTTTTACTTTACTTTTTGGTTATTATTTTAATTATCTTGTTATCTTAGCTTGTAACCGCATGCCAAAGCAAACTACAATTGAGAATTCCTAAGGTAAAACCTTGTGTTACATACATAATTACATAAATTTGCATAGTTATCCTAGTGTATTAAGGATGAAGATCAAAAAATACTTTTCTTAAAACGAGAATTTGGCTTTTAATAGGACACAATGGAGAAAAAGGATTCATGTAGCCGACCCCACGTAGTGGGATAAAGGCTTGATGTTGTTGTTGTTGTTGTTTGATATGTATCTCTTACCTAATCTTTTTCCTAAGAACTGCATATCTTCAATATTTTGTCTCAGCTCAACGATTTGAATCCTTAACTGTTTCATATAATATTCATTTGTATTAATTATTGTTAAACCACTTTCTAAAAAAATCAAATGCCAAGGTAGCGTTGAATTAATTGGATATTGGTAAAAATAATTTCAAATGCATCGGACATCATTTATATAACATTAAATGTTTCTAATTTACCATATCTTAATTACAATTACAACATCTATTGTTAAATTCTAAAATGATTGAAAGTTAAATTATTAAAATTAATTACCTCGATTAAATTTTCCTTCCTTTCTCGTCGAATCAAGACTCCCACAAATTTGATTTTTTCATATTGAATAATTATATACTGCTCTTTCAATCAAACTAAAAAATTATGCATTTATTTTTTGTCTAAATTTAAGCAAGAAAGAAGAAAATTTAAACGGCTTGCTTCTTCCCTGTTGTAAAAAATGAAGCTCACTACTTCTCGCCAAGCTGAGATCTTTCGATAGCCTCAACAGTAGAGAAACTCCCTCTTACAAATTTTCTTTTACACAAAATTTTCCCCTCTTTTTCTCTCACCCAATTTCCTTTTCTTCCTCTCAGTCATGGTCTTCTCGACTCCTTTTTTTCATGCGATACTTCTGGACAGAGCGGAAGTTGATATCTCACGTGAGGAGTAGCATTTATATTCTTTCGATCGCGTTGGTTTGCTCATTCACGCGATGTCGTGCTCTCTCGCTCACCATCTCTCGCCCGTGCTCGCCCGTTCGCTTTGTTGCTCGCCCTCGCTTTAGTCAAGGGACCGGTTCAATTGGAACTAGTCAATATACGACCTGTTCTTACATGTTTTGTATTATGCAATGCCTTGGTGTCAGCTGGAGTAGATGATTGATGAAATGTCGAACATTAATTACAACAACAAAAATCTTAAGGACCTTGTGTGTCATAGTTGCCACAAAAAGACACTTAAATGTCAATATAAAGCCCAACTATTGTACTGAAAAGAAGAGGATTCCTTTGAATCATTGTTTGAACAACATTCAACTTAAAATGTGCTGCTTTTTTATGATAACTTGTATAGAGACAATGATAACATAGGAGTCATGAGATTTCTTACTTTAGGCAAATCAAAAATTGAAAATTGGTGGAGCAAAAACATCTTTACTCGGTTTTTCATTTGCAATTAAAAGAGTTATAGATTAGTGATTGTTGGGGATAGTGCCATGAGTATAGTTTCAACTCATACCCAATCTAAAATTTGAACCACAATAGCGACCTTTCCATGTGAGCTAGGTCAACTACACTTCACTGCTTGTGATAACGGATGCTTATTGCCTATCAAAATATGTGACTATGAAGATAATATTTGGTGTGATATACTACATATTATTAGGTGACTATGGCAGAAGGAATTCTTATGTATTCTAACATCAGGAGGAAATAGGCAATTTGCTGAAGCTACTAGAAAAATCTGTATCAAGCACCGCTCACAAGAAAAATTCTAAAATCGAAACAGCACCCAATCACAACAAGTATTCCAAATTCAATTGATCATGATCGGTCAACCCTTAGGAGAGTCTATAATTGATTCATCAAAAGGTACCCCACTCATTAGAAATGAGGTAGTTTTGATCATTCAAAATATAGGGTTGACAAAATAGCAGTTAAGAACCTGAAGAGAGAATTCTAAGGTTTGACCGCTTTGAATCTTTTGCATGTAAAATAGTTAACCCAAACCTCATTGAGACTCACATACACATTGTGGTATTTGATTTGTTTAGTGAGTTTAGTGACATATCATGTAAGGGGTTACTTAACAAGCTCGTCCCAAAGGGCAAATGCAAAATGCTATAGACTTAATCCGAGGTTCAAAATTAGCCGATCTCCCACACTATAAAATGAACCTAAGTAAGCCAAAAAAATTAAACTAATGTGTAGATGAGCTTCTTAAGAGAGGTTTTCTCTGGGAGAGCCGTAGTCTTTGTGATGTCGCAATTGTACTCACTCTTAATAAAGATTGCTTGTGAGAATGAGCATAAATAGTAGAATCATAAATAATTCATCATTATTTTGGATGGCATGTTTGATCTTATTTTTGGGCAGTTTGTTTTCTCCCAAATTGATATAAGGAGTGAGTACCACTAAATTTGAATAAAACTTTGAGATGAATGAAAAACAACATTCAAAATACTTGATGGTTTTCATGAATGGATGGTCATGCCTTTTGGACTTTCAATGCACCTAGTACATTCATGAGGGTAATAATTATTGTCTTAGAACCATTAATAGGGAAGTTTTTAGTGGTCTTTTTTTATTTTATTTTGATGTATAGCACAAAACAGAGTAGCAAATTGGAGCAAATTAGGTTAGTCTGCAATAAACTGAGAGAAAAATTGTTCATAAGAGCAAAATAGTTTTCAAAGACTAAGAAGTGAATTCCATAGGATTCATTGTTTCTTCTAATTTCATCAAACCAAATTCTTCCCAAATATAAAATTCATTATAGACCGGTCAACTCTTAAGAGTCTCACGGAGGTAGCAGTTTCCATGTACTAGCAACATTTGCAGAAGATTCATAGGCAGATCTTTGCACTCTTAACTTCTGCGCATTGTTCATCCTTTCATGGATAATTGATGATGGCCTCTTTCACATTTTGTCAATATTGTACATTATCATTCTGGTTAGCTAGTTTTGTCAGTTCATCTTATTTGTTTGTGCTTATTATTTTGTCATTGATATCTGCTATTTCTTCCCTACTCATGTAGTGTTAATGCTTTTGTTCTTATATTTGACTAATTTTTTTTTTTATGTACAGATGATCTTTGACAACATTTTAAACAGAAAAATTCCATGGCCACACATTCCTGATGATATGTCGCCAGAAGCCAAAGACATAATTGATAGGTTTGAACTAGTATCCTTTCATCTTCCTGCCAGTCTTATGTTATGTACTATGCTTAATTTATTTTATCTTTTATGTATTTTTTATGTTGTGTATTAGGTGCTAGTCCTTGAAAGTTGCATGTTGCATTAATTAAAGATAATAATAGAGTACGTACTAGTTTGAAAACTTCTCTGTCTTCCCAAGACAAAAACAAACAAAAGTGTGAATAACTATGCTTCTATCTATGTAACTTCATACATGAATACAACAAAAAAATGAAAATGATGAAAAAAGAAAGAAATAGGAGTTATATTTTATGAAAAGTGAGTTTAGAATGACCAAAATGTCATGATTTGTAAGCATTGCATTTATATATATATATATATATATATATATATATAATTTAAAAAAGTGCACTAGATATATTCCAAGGCATTAAATATGACAACATGTGAAAGTAACATCCACTTACTTGAATATGCATGATATATCATGAGACTTATATTTTATGAAAAGAGTATATAATGACCATTTATTGTGTAAACATGTTCACTAAATTAAACTTCTAAAAACATAAGATAAACTACCAATATGCTCAATATGAAGAAATATCTACTATATTTCGCATAAAAGTTCAATAGCATATTGTAGGGAGTTTATAAGCAATGGACTTGAGTATAATTTTCTCTCTATACTAGAGATCGATATCTCTTATCCAATAGTAGATGGTGTTACGATCCGGCCAGAATGCTCGAATTAATAAGGCGGGAACAAACGGTCAGACGGCTGATTAAATTTTCAATTACTAACTAACTAATTCCAATATACAGAAAGAGCCACTAAAATCTAAAAAATTTAAAATCAAATGCTATAAATACATTTCTCTCGAAGCATTACACCAACGATACACATTCTCTCATCTTTTACTCATTTTAATTATTTGAATAATACTTGTATTCATTTGTAAATATATGACTGACTGTATGAGTGAGTCATAAAAAAACTCGATGAGCATATCATGCTTCTACATTACAGTAATAAAAGACATTGAGAATAATATGCATGCTCATTTCAAAATATAAGGTAATTCTAATTAAATATTGTAAAGATGTTCATTAATGTTATGCATATTTCATATATTTTTCTTTCTCATAAATAATATAACCGTTACAGGAAACATGCCTAAATTAGTACAAATGAAGGTACTCCTTTTACATTTCTTTTTCTTTTTCTATAACCTTTTCTATTTAAGTGCACACAAGGTTTAAAATTGCGTATTCGGGTATTGAGGCGTTTTTCGTTCGTGAGACGAGGCGTAAGCCTCAAAATCAAAAAATTGCGTAAACATAAAATAATAAATTTTGTATATACTAATGAGTAAATAATATATATAACATAAACATGCTATTTATCACATATTTGAGAATAAGTAAGGGAGACATATCACATAAGAACTCACTAGTCATCAGCACTGTCATCACTCATCAGTCATTAGCATTGTCATCAATCATCACTCATCAGTCATCACTAAGGGGGTCTTCATTTGAATCATCATTATGATGAACTGCTCTCTCCTCTTTCCCCTCTCCTATAGAGTCCAATATCTCCCAATCAGCTTCTTCTTCCTCATTATTAGTTATCTTCCTCTTCCATAAATATTTTTGAACAATATCATAATGAATAATAGTGTAATACCTTAATAAAAGTCTAAGAAAAGAAAACTATATTATTTATATATATTTTTTGATTTGTTCTTGAGTTGTGGTGGATGTGGATGCTTTAAGACCATCAAAGAAATCAACATTTAAATCTTCATCTTGTAATTCAGATGGCATCACTTCAACTTCATCATCTACAAACCACTCATCATCAGATGTCACATCATCGCAAAGCAAAGGATCTTCATCATCCATTAATCCTTTTTTTTTTCAAATTTCTATCTCTGAGTGTCCTATTGTACATAATGTACACCAGTGAGTTCATCCTCAATGTCGACAAGCGATTTCTCCTCTTTGTATGTACTTGGTTGTAGGTACTCCAATTTCTTTCACAACCAGATTATGAGCATGTCAAGCCCAAAACTTTCACAGCAAAACGCTGTAATTCTGGAGTCCCATCACCAAATTGAATCCACCACTCAACTAGAGATCGTTTGGCAATTGTATCTTTTGCTTATTGTAATCCAAAAAAACCTTCTTTATTCCTAAAAGGTACCAATTGCAAGTCAGCATTTGATCTTTCAGTTGCATCACTTATTAGACGATCCATGCAATGATATAATCCCAACTTTATTTCAGGGTTTGTAGACTTGTTCTCTGCATATTGATACTGAGGGTTTAGGTAGTAGCCAGCGGCATGCAAGTGTCGGTGAAGCTGTAGTTCCCACCTATCATCAATAATATTCCAAATTTCCCTAAAGCTTCCCTCACTGCCTCCTAAGTTGGAGGCAATCATCTCTTTGGCTTCATCCATAGCATTGTAAATGAAACCCATTGCAGACTTCTTTTCAGCATCCACCATCCTTAAAACATGAACTAAAGGTCTAGTGGTTGTAATGGCATATAAGACACTTAGCCAAAATCTGTCATTTAAAACAATCTTTCTAATCTCTTTTCCCTCAGCCTTCTTCGCCCAAGCACAACTCAACCACTGTGTAGATGTGAACATAACCTCTAAAGGTTGCCTAGCATCCAGCATGCTCTCTAAGGTCAAGTAAGCGGTGGCAAATTTTGTTGCGGCTAGCCTTAGAATTTCTTTCTTTGAAAACTTTCATATAAGAGCTAGAACCCAAGAGTGGTTGTAAATAAACTTGGTTATTTTTTTGGCTTTAGTGAGTGCATTTTTATGTTCATGTTCATCCAACACTTACGATTTTTGGAACAACAAGCCTATGCTCTTTGACACGGTGGGGCAACGAGTCATAAAATTTTCACTTTTGTTCTTTCAGCAAACCAACCAGCAGGGTAATGTGCGAGGATTCAATGATTGGCTGTAATAAAATGTTGTTTGAAGAAACAGAAAGCTCGATTATATGGTCGATTTGCAATTTGGCTAATTTATCCCTTTGTTATTCTGCAAGTGCAAGTAATAAATGTAAGTATGTAACTATGTAAAAACTAAGAAATAGATACTAAGTTACTAATCCAATAGTTAAACTGATTAATTGAATACTAAGTTACTAACCCAATAGAGTGGAGAGATGTATAGAAATTTATGGTACTTGTCAGGCATAAGGTTACACTTCTCATCTAACAAAATGACAAAAAGATCTACATGTTCATTGCATAAATAATTGTCGCTTAATAACTCGTCATTTTCAGCTCTGCAAATAAGAATGTTACTAACAAATAAGATAATATCGTCCCTGCACAAAAAAAAAATAAATAAATTAAATACGCATTGCATAAGCATACCATACGCATATCATAAGCATAAAATACGCATATCATACGCATAACATAAGCATACCATATGCATACAATACGCATATCATAACATACACGTATAATAAGCATACAATAAGCATAAGTAACGCATATCATACGCATAACTCACGCATACCATACGCATAAAAATATTCAAACATAAAATAAGTTGCAATTTTTTTACCTTCGATTGTACTTCTTCAAACATTCATAAATAAAATTTCTCTTCTCAGAACTAAAACTCAGCAGACTTTTTTAATTTTCTATTTCAATTGCATAAACAGGAATTATAGGATTTATCTGAATGTCATCTACTAGGATTGGTTCTTTTGGATTTGTATATGGAATAAGCTGCATTTCTGCTGGGATTGGCTCCTTTTTGGATGGGATTGACTCATTTTTGGGGATTGATTCATTGGGGCTGTGGGGAGGGATATATGATTTTTGTTTGTTTATTGGAAGATGAAGAGTAGCTAACAGATCTTTTCTGAGTTGGTATTTTGCTCTGATCAATGTAATTATTGAGTTTGACCTCCATAACTTCAACTCTTTCAGTTAGGTCTTCAAACTTTCTGCTCAGCCTATCTTCAAATTCAAGAAAAAGTTTTCTGCATGTTTTTTGGCAGGATTTGATTATTCTTTCTTGTAGGGATTCAAGTGCTTCAGCAGAAAAACTTAAGTGTGGTTGCTGAGGAGATTGATGGAGGTCTTGCTGACGAGGTGGGGTATGATGGGGAGATTGGGGGGGATGTTTTGATGGGTGAATATTTCATGAGGGGAATCAGGGGATGGAGGGCTGTCTGATGGATATTTCTCGACATTAACCATATCCATTTCAGCCTGAGAAACTGCCTGGAGGACATTACAAATCTGACTTTTCTTTATATTAGCAAATAAGTTAGTGATCACCTATGTAGTATATACAATATCATCGGCCCATCGTAAAAAATGGAACATTTTGTCAGCATACATAGGAGAATGAAAAGAAGTATGCTCCATGAACAAAATCTGCATAAGATGAAAGAAAATTTTAGCACTCATATTGAGCCAATAAAATTTTGAATGAATTTAGCACTTAGCACTCACAATTAGTAGAAGTACAAAATCGTTGATGTAACCTGCTGGCTTATTATTTGAAATCTTGGAAGAGGTCTTATTAAACTCTCAAACTAAAAATTTCGTAATTGAACTAGCCCAGTTTATTGACAAAAAATCATCTGGATTATTTGCTATTCTTTGAAGCAACCGAGGGATTTTGAAGTTGTTAAGTTGAAAAAGTAAATTTGAACATAAATACTTAATAAACGTTCTTAACATAGTCTCGGGGGGGGGTTTGCTTGTTCAACTCCATCATGTTTGTCCTAATTTCTGATGATGTAACTGAAGTATGTGCTAAAGAAAGTCAGGATATTTCTTCTCCTTTATTTGGCAGACCAGTGAAAAGGGCCACTTCATCAGCAATGAAAGGAATGGCAATACCTTTTAGAACAAAGCATTGTTTTGAAATGTTCCACCTTGAGATCAGCTTATAAATAAGAGGGACATTTTGCTCAAACCTAGAAAATTCTAAAAACTGTATGATCTTTAAACGTTTC